TTATTATTGCTAAATAATTTATATATATATATATATATATATATATATAAATTCAATAATTTATTTGTTTAATTATTTAAGCACAAAAATAAATAATTTTTCCTCTTACAGACTTACCTCATGGCAGAGCCCATGCAATTGCGAATTAGGATATATTTTGGTGAAGTTGTGGATGAAATTCTTCAAAAAAATAATTATCTACGTATTATTTTATTATTATTATTTACAAATAATAAAATAAAATATAAATAACAACAATATCAATAATATTGTTTAGATTTTTAAATCAATTAACACGTTCGAGTTTAACGTTGTCACACACGAAATCAATTTCATCGAAATAAGCGCTGCATCTGATGTCTCTCTCATTCTCTCTCTCTCTTTTTCTCTCTTTCTCTCTTTCTCTCTCTCTTTCTCTCGCTCTCTTCTCTCTCTAATATCAATAATATTGTTTAGATTTTTAAATCAATTAACACGTTCGAGTTTAACGTTGTCACATGAAAGCAATTTCATCGAAATAAGCGCTGCATCTGATGTCTCTCTCATTCTCTCTCTCTCTCTCTCTTTTTCTCTCTTTCTCTCTCTCTTTCTCTCGCTCTCTTCTCTCTCTCTCTTTCTATATATATATGTATATATATATATATATATATATATATATATATATATATATCATACCTCTCTATATATGTAAATATAATAACATTAGTGTAGTAAAGTATTACTGTATGGTTACGCGCCAAAGGGATATTTATATAGTAATTCTATAAATAGAATTAATTAATAATAATACCATAATTAGTCAATCAGTTATAATTAAAGGAGTAATAATTATATTATAATTGATTAATCAGTTATGATTGTGGTCAGTCCTGACTGGCTTTCTGTTTTTGCTTTATGTTGTTATTGTTTTGAGCCCGAGAGACATAGAAATGTTAGAAATGCGTTTTTTAATATATAAATATATTATAATTTCACTACTACTACTGCTGCTGCTGTTACTACTGCTGCTACTACTACTACTATTGCTGCTACTACTACTGCTACTACTGCTGCTCTTACTTCTGCTGCTTTGTGAACGAACGAACGAATATATAAATAGATGAATGAACAAGTGAATGAACGAACAAATGAATGAACGAACAAACGAATGAACGAACAAACGAATGAATGAATATTGAAAAGGATCTCAATAAAGCACTTTGGTCATCACATCATACATCTTAAAATGCCTACCCTTGGGCTAATACAAAACTAATAATAGCCTACACACGGCTGTCAGTTCTTATTGAAAAAATCTTTTTATTATTTTTCTTATTTAATTCCTCACTCTCTTGTTCATTCATTCTTCAATTCATTTTTTGTTCGTTCTTTTCTAATTTCGTTCAATCCTCCATTCCTCAGTTTTTCACTCATTCCATTCCTTTCCTTTCTGACTATGATAGGGACAAAGTCGTCAATTAAAACGGCGACGACAACGACGATGCTGTGGCTACTGGTGCTGCTGCTGCCACGGATGACGATGCTAATTTTGATGGTGACGACGACGAGCTGTAGTTGTTGCTGCTGGTGAAGAAGACGATGATGACGTCAATGACGCCATTGTTAACGACTGCCATGTTTGCTTACATCACTTACAGCCTACATCCGTTTCCTTTTCTGCTCCACTGACTGCGACTAACTACCGCACCTATCGTTCGTTTGTTCGTTCGTTCGTTTGTTTGTCTGATCGATCGTTCGTTTGCTTGTTTACATGCTCGATCACTTTCAAATTACAATTATCGTTAACTATACTACTACTACTACCACTACCACTACTACTACTTCTTCTGCTTCTCCTCCTACTACAACTACTACTACTACTACTGCTACTGATTTTGCTTTTACCACTAACAAAAATGACATTTAGTATCTTTGGTGACGTCATTTATTTGCACCGATGTTTATGTACGATGTTTTCACAAAAACTATGTTTTAGCAACAATTGAAAATTTTCAAAATGAAATATTTTATAAATTTCTAATTAGGAATAATTGAAATTTAATTCAAGTTTACATTTAAACGGAGCTTAATACCGCAATTTTTTTAATATTATTTAATAATACATTTTTTTTTCAAATCAACAAAGGAATGGTTGTTAGTTAAAATCAAAAGCCTATCTCTTGCCATCAAATGAAATAATAAGTAAATTTATATAAAATTCTTTTTGATTAAGTTGATTTATTTGAATAAAATAAGTAATTTCAATGTTTATATCAAGTCTATATCATTATCTACAGACAATTTGTAAGGGTTAAATACGTTTTTTGTTATACAAATTGTCCAACTGAATTGCGTCAAAATGTGCAAATTGTTTTTAAAAGACAAAATTACAGAATAATTATAAATAAAAATTAAATAATTAATTTATTAATATATAAAAATGAATTACAAAAATTAGTTGACAAACAATACAACCCAACCAACCAATCAGCTTCCAGAAAAAAAAATCAATCGTGAAATGTTTCCGAGACCGAAGAGCGAGAGGGATTGGATCGACGACAGGCTCTTCTCGTGGTACACATACGGCGACAACATGCGGGCCACCACCACCACCGGCAGTGGCAGACGGGGAGGCCACAGTGAAGATGACGACGATGAGACCGCTGAAGTCTCCAAAATCAATTCGAACGGCGAACTTTCGGTGAGAAAAGTTACATTCGTTGGCACTGTCGAACATGAATTTTGCGACAAACCTCCCGCCAGATCGTCTCGCTCCTTGCTTCAGGCTTCCTTCAAGCCCATTAAAGATGTTTTCCATAAGATCGGCGACAAGCTGACACTTATCTCAAAAAATCACAAAAGAAATATTTCAAAGTACATAGCCGATTTGAAAGCCAAAACTTCATCACACAAATCTCAAAAGGTTTTGAGCCCGAACAATATGAGGCAGCCGAAAGTGCTGGAGTACAATGCCATACAGACGAAAAAAGACGATTCCAAGATTGGTTTTGTCGTCTCGGTCGATAGCAGCGAGCAAGTTCAAAAGAGACGCAGGTTTTCAATCTTCAGTGTTCTCCAGCCAAATCAGGATAACAACGCTACACCGGTCAGCCTAAAAGAGAAAGATTCCCAGAGAGAGCTTGAGAGTGTAGCAAGCAGAGAAACTTTAAAATCTGATAAGCCGCTCAAACCATGCTTGAAAGTTTCCAAGAAAAGATCGGAGAAGGAAGTTTTGCGCAAGAGAGCCATCATCAGTCTGAAGAAAAGCAGAAGTATGTCGGATAATGAAGATGATGAGTCAAACCACAGCTCCAACAACCATCTTGTTCGCTGCCTTCCTCCTCTTCAAAATGTTTCTTCTAACACCATCGATGCCACAAATAACAACAACAACAGCAACAACAACAACAACAACAATGATGATGACGACGACGGCAAAGAAAATTGTCGCAATATTGAAGAAGAATCATTTGTTTGTTCAAATAATGAAACATTGAACGGTGAAAAAGTTTTTCAAAAACAAGCATCTAAAGAAGAAGACCAGCAAATAAACACGAACGAAACAAAGGTTGCTACCACTGATCCCAACAGATCCAAATCCAACTCCTCCTCAGCAAATCTCAACGTTAATGTGGACTTCAAAACGAAACTGGCAAAGTGGTCGCTCGGATGCTCCGAAAACAAACCGCCCATACCGACGGTGCCAGCGAACAAATCGTCTGCCGGTGTCGAATCGAAGGGTGTGAGCCACTTGGTCCAACTCTTTGACGCCAGGGCCTCATCCAATTACGTCAGCAAGAATATTTACTTCAAAGAAACTTACAACAGCGTGAATGTGAAGGATTGCATAAAATATTTGGATTCGGTTTTGTTTAAGAATTTGCAACTACCTGCCAGCAAAAAATTAACAGCAGTAAGTCCTAACATTAAAGTTTTGCAAGGTATTCAGCATCTTCCAAACTTGCAATTGAAGACAACGGAGCACGTTGAAGAAATTCGTGCAAAGGTCCTGAACATCAAATGTGACACTCTATCGAACCAGCAGAATCACGTCAGCAGGACCAAAGAAAATCCGCATACTTCATCAAACATGGACTTTTCAACGAAACAAATATGCAAAAAAATAACAAGGAGCCAGAGCGCGCGTAAGACATTTCGTGATTTCATGAAAAGGGCATTCCGCCTCAAATCAGCTTCTCCGGCAAAGCTGAGAAACAATCAAAATGAAAATAAAAAACACGAGGCGGAGTCGAAGAAGAGTAAGGAGATGTCAACGCAAACAAGCAGAGAAAGCATCTCAGTGTTTAACGAGAAGGATAGGGTCGATGTTCCCTTCAGCAAACCAATCGATCCGTCATTTTCGCTCCTGAAAAAAGTTTCCATAAACGAAAACACGTCAGAAAATAACAAACACAGATCTGCAAAATGTCAGCAGGCTCACAGGAACATGCTGCAAGAGATGCAGAACATCAAACTGAACAAAAACGCATCGGCAGTCGTGAGAAGTCAGCGTTCGAAATCTTTCACTACAAATTCAGATAAAACAGACGACACCTCATCGCAACAAACCAAATGCTGTACACGTAAGAAACTCCAGAACAAGTCCAACTACCTCCTCCACAAGTTCCTCCTCAACCAATCCAACTCACACAATTACACAGCTGATAACAACCAGCTGGAAATCGAAGAGACCAACACCAATCACCCTCTCTCTCCATTCAACCTCTCACCGGCGCCCGGGCGCAACCAAGGATCAATGTGGGATCGCATCTATGCCTGGGAGTTGAGAGGACAGAACAACAAAACGAAAAAAATTAAGAAGGACAGCCAGAATCACGCCAAAGACTCAACCGTCACATGCGAAGAACCGGCTCCTGTTGTGGCCACTAATGACGACCAGAGGGCAAATCATCCTTCTCTGTCTGAAACACCTCTCTCTGAGGCAGCGGTCAGCTTCATTAGGTCACCTTGATTTAAAATGTAACGACGGCAATTAGTTTAAAATTCATAAATAACTAATTTTATCAATGTCTGTTGAGTCAAATTTTTGAATGGTTCCTAATTATTTGCACCTATCTGGTGAGATATTTTTACGAGTTTAAAATCTTATTTACTGTTTCAATTAGAGTTTGAATATTTAACGTTTGTTGTTTTTTTTTTAAATAAAATTTCAATTTTTATTTAAAATATCACAATAATTTTGAAATAATCAACCATCCATTTTTCAGTTACAACCCGAAATGTGATTTCCTACCGCCATCTGCAATTAATAAAAGAAATGAAGATAAAAATTCAAACAAGGTAAGGTGTAAGGTTGACAAAACATTTTTCTCAATTTTTTTAGGATTTTTATGATGTAATATGTGTTTGTTAATTTAGGTGTGTCGTTGTTTGTGGTCTTACTAAATAACAGTTTCATCACAAAGTCCTTCTTTTAAAGTGTAACATTATCTCCAAGTATGTTGGTTCAGTGAGCAAATTCAATTTGCTAGCATAAACCAGTCGACATTTTAAAAAACAAAAATTTTGATAAAATAATAATGAAAACACACACATTAAACACACACACACACGCACACGCACGCAAACACACACACACGCAGATAAAGAAAAAAATGACCACAAAACTGAAAGAAACTTCAAAAAATTGTAACACCACTTATAACAAGGCTACCAAGATCAACCGTTCGCCTTTCCCGTTATTGGTTCGTTGGCTTTCTTCTTATTTTTGACTTTACTGGCGACATTTTCAGCATAAATAAGTCAATTTAGACACTTAACTCACCAAAAATCTGCAATCAGTTTCAAAATATTCAATATTAAATTATAAAACAAACTGTTTAATTTTTTTTTCTCTCTATAGATGAAGACTGAAACATCAATGATGAGTCCAGAAAACAAACGTCTGAACGATTTCCACAGTCCGTACCAGAAATCTCAAAATAAAGTTCACAGATTGGAATTCACAGGCACCAACGATAATCATTCTTACAACGCTTACTTCCCGACTTGTCGAAACCACATCGGCTGCTTGAATAGGAACAACATATCACGAAGAAGCACCACGTTCAGTTCGGATGTCTGCAACAACTTCCCTATAACAGCCACAGCCGAAATGAAAGAAAATATTTCTATTAATATAAAAAACAAGACAACGGCAGCATCCAGATCTAGTGCTAAAGTGATTAAAAAACTTCTCACACCCTCTCCTATGAAGCGCGTTGAAGCACAAGCGAAATCAATCCTACCTCAATTTATATCAAAACAGAAAAAAACTCCAAGTCTAAAAGACTCTATCGCCAAACGAAAAAACCTAACAACCAAGAAAGAAGCAAAACCGAAACGAGAAGAGAACCCACAAATCAATCCGAAACCACTGAACGGTAACAAATCCAAAAAACCAGTTGGTCCTGTGAATAGCGAGGTGATAAACGTCTTTGATGCTGTCATCGACCAATTGAAAGACTTCAAGTTCAAGGAGCACAAGCTTAAAAGCAGCTTGAATCGCAATGATCTGAATAGCAGCAAAGAGAAAATAGGTAGACGAAGTGCTGATTCTTCTGATATCTACGTCACAAGCCTCTATAACAATTCCCCGGTCTCTGGTGTCAATACAAACAAGAGAGGGGTTCAGAGTCTTATAAAAGTTTTCGAACATTGAAGTTTTTCAGATTTTTCATTGGGGTGAATTTGTATTTTTAAAAACGAAACATGTTTCATCTATTTTTAGTAGATCCATTTTTCTGGTTTTTAATTTTATTTTATCTCATAGGCACTTAATTATCGATTGCTCGCTTGAATGAATATCTAGATTTTTCTGAAAATGTAAAATAAATCAGTTGATAACATCAGGGTAATTATTCATTTCTTATTTGTAATGAATACTTCTAATGAGTTAAACATTTAATTTGGATGACGGTTAAATAGAATAATGATGTCTAATTTTAAAATCAATAGTGTTACAGATATAAACATCGAATATTAATCCAGATTAAAAAATTAGTTACTAAATTTTATCAAATCGCATAAAAAGAACAAACAAAAGATTTTCCGGAGTAATTTTTTTCAAAATATTAAGTAATTCAAGATTATTCTATTTCTTATTCATAAGATTTCTAATCGTGCAACAGAAAATAAGATCGTTGAACCTTGCTAAACCAACAGAGATGATGTAAAAAGTTTTTACTTAACCTCAATGTCAAAACATAAATCAAATCACCATAAACTTTAGTTTTGCATATGTATTTACAGGATAACCAATTTCAAACATACATGTATAGATCACAAAAACATATAGTAGTAGAATTGCTATTTCAATGTATACAATATACCAAGGTCTTCTATACAATATACAATATGATATATAGTGTCGTCAGGTTTGCAATACTAAACTGCATGTATATGGATACACGTATACGTAAAATTATAGCTTGTACCATGATCTATTACATGATATATCGCATGATATATCATGATATATGAATCTATCTACCTGTGTCAGGTGCGTTAAGCATTTTAAAATCAAAACAAAACATTTCAAAGATACAGACACAAACAAACATCATACACATACACTCACTTTCTCTCTGTCTATCTCTCTCTCTTTTTCTCTCTCTCTCTTTCACACACACACACACACACACATCCACACACACGTATGTAAACACATTATATATGCATAATATGTTTGTTGTTGTTTAGAAACAAACAAACTCTAAGCAAGATGAAATGTTTACAAGTGTAATGAAGAATCTATAATGTATTTATATACATATATGAATGTACGTACGTACGTACGTATGAATGCATGTATATATGTACTTATGAAGGTATGGATATATAATTATATGTTTATTTAAATATCTAGAGTTACAATTAGAAGCGAGCTCGAACACTTAATATATGCAGTCAGTCTGTGAAGCGTTTTAACTAGATCAAAGTTTGTTTTGATTAAAGTTTGTAACTTATTATTATTATCATCATCATTGTTGTTTTTGTTATCATCATTATTATTATTATTATTATTATTATTTATAATATAAGAAGAATTTTTGTCTTGAACTGAACTAAACCGCGGATTCTATCTAAAACTATGTTTACTAAGCAGGTTACTAAGTATTAATAATGATGATGATGATAATAATAATAATAATAATAATATAATAATAATAATAACAACAATAATAATAAATAATAGTTATTATTATTATTATTATTCAGCTCTCTACACCGCTAAAGCTGATAAAACGCTGCTACAACAGAGTTACTCCTGAGATAATCTCATCTCTGAAGCATCAGCTAGGTTGGTTGTGGGAAAGAAGGAAATAAGAATGAATGAATTAATGAATGAGTGAGTGAATGAGTAAAGGAGTGAAGAAGTGAGTGGGTGAAAGAGTGAATGGAAGAATGACTAATGAATGGTTGACTAACGACTGGCCAATCGATTAATAAATTAATTTATTGTTTAATTGATTGATTGATTGATTGATTGATTGATCGAAAGGTGAAGGCCAAATAAGCACAAGCCAATCTGTCCGGGAACACCACGGCAAAGATGAATCATCAATAAGGTGCAAACGAGAATTTATGCTAATTTATGTTAATTTTCAAAGAATTTCGTGGTTTAAATGAATGGTAAGCTAAATGTAAGAACGAATGAATGAATCAAATTACTCTAGGATAACAATACCAGATGTGGTTGTATTTCCACAGACGACGAAAGATGTCAGTATGGTGCTGAAACTTTGTAACCACAACGAAATACCGGTTATACCATTTGGTACCGGCACTGGATTGGCCGGCGGTGTTAGTCCCCTAATGGTCAGTACATGTATGTATGCATGTATGTTTGTGTGTGGTTCTCTCTGTGTGTGTTTGTGTCTGTGTGTGTATGAGAGTAAGCCTAACAGCAGAAATATTTCAACCGAATCAACAGCGAAATGACGCCAGCAAAATGATAATAACAGAGCGCTACACAAATTTATAATAATAATAACGATGACAATTATAGCATAATTAGTTTAATAATAATATTAATATAATATAATAATAATAATAATAATAATAATAATAATAATAGAGTTGTGTATCAATGGATTTGACTAAAATGGATCAAATCGTTGATTTGCACGTGGAAGACTTCGACGTTACTGTACAACCAGGTATTATTATTTATTATTATTACTATTTTTTTCTTTTTGTTATTATCATTATTCTAATTAATTATGACCAAGGTGTAACTCGGAAGCAGATCAACAATTACCTAAAAGACTACGGCCTGATGTTCCCCGTCGGTTAGAATATTTATATTATTATTTATTATTATTATTACTTATTATTGATAAAATTGTTGAAACCAAAAGTATTCTATAACTTCTAACCCTAACTTCTAACTTCTGTTTCGACACTTTATTTTATAATATTATAACTTTGACTTTCTAGATCTTCTCCATTTTATCCTTTTCCTCTTATTTGATTTTTTTCATTAATATCATTATTTTTATTAAATAAACGAATATACGAGCCTTTAAAAAACTATTTCCCAACAAAAGATCCGGGGGCTGATGCCTCGCTATGTGGTATGGCGGCCACCAGTGCTTCGGGAACAAACGCGGTGAAATATGGGACCATGAAGAGTAATGTACTTAACATGGAAGTGGTACTGGCCGATGGGACTGTTATACATACCGCCGGGAAAGGAAGGAGGAGTAGGTAGTTTTGGGATTGGGAGTTTTTCGGAATTTGGAGTGAAAATTTTTGGGATTGGGAGTTAGGGGTTTTTTGGGATTTGAAGTTAGAAGTTTTGGAATTGGGAGTTAGAAGTTTCGAAATTGGGAGTAAAAGGTTTTTTTTTAGAACTTAGGTAGGTAGGTAGGTTCTTGGGAAGATTTGGATTAGTACTAAGATTTCACACCTAGAATCAAAATTTTATTTTTTTGGTTTTACTGTTTAAAAAATATTTCTGAAAATTTTATTTATTATATTAAAAACGAAAACAGGAAATCTGCGGCCGGATACAACCTGACAAACTTATTCATAGGAACTGAAGGAACACTTGGGGTCATAACAAGTGCTACCTTAAAATTATACGGCATTCCAGAAATGGTAAACGCACATCTTTTTGGTAAAGATTACATTTTTTGGTAAAGATTACATTTTTTGGTAAATGTGATATTTTTTGGTAAATTTAAATGGCGGTTGCAAGCTTTTTGTAAATTTACGTTTTGATTAACGGTAATTTTTGTGGAAATCCAACTTTTTATAATTTATAGTTATTTATGAATAAGGTAATATAGTAATTATAGTTAATAATTACAGATAATGTATAAATAGTTCATAATAATATAATAAAATTTCCAGAAAACTTCAGCCGTCTGTCAGTTCAAAACTGTCGGGGGAGCAATAAGATCAACCATTGAAGTCATTCAAAATGGAATTGATATCGCTAGAATAGGTTTAAAGAATTCATTTGATCATCATTTTTTTCTTCTTCCTCATCAACAGCAGCACTAGCATCATCGTCGTCATCTTCCTCACCATCATCTTCATCTTCTACATTTTCTTCTTCATCCCCATCATCAGAGTTCTTAGATGAAATGTCAATGCGCTTATGTAAGCGATACAGTAAGCTGGATTACATGAGTGAAGAACCGACGTTATTTCTAGAATTTCAAGGATCTCAAAAAACCATTGAAGATTATATCGAATTGACAAGTACTTATTCAGTTATTAATTCATTTATTTGTTCATCTGTTCATTCATTCATTCATTCATTTGTTCATTCATTGTTCGTTTGTTTATTAGATTATACGTTTTATTAGTTCATACGTTTGGTTTTGTTTATTCATGTTTGATCGAATATTTATTCGTCCATTTGTTTGGTCCATTCTTTCGTTCAACATCATGTTCATCATCATTAATTGATTTGTATTTGTTCATCCATTCATTCATTCCTTAATTCACTCCTTTATTCCTTAATTTTTATACTTTTATCTCAATGACTCTTTTGTAAGTCCAATAACCTCATGACATATTAATAAGCCAACAATGTATATATCTACATCAAATTATATCATGCTACCATAAACAAATAGGTCAAATAATATTTAACTAGGTCAGACAATACTTAATTAAGTCAAATCTCATGTAATTAGGTCAGATCACGAAATCGAATGGAGGTGGTGAGTTCATGTACACGCTAAAGCAAGAAGATACGAACCAGCTGTGGGCGGCCCGGCATAATTATTTCTACGCAGTCCTAGCGAGTTCTCCCAACAAGAAGGTACATATTTTTCTTCCGTAACCCTTTAGCTGTACCGTGACCTGACCTAGTTAAGTATGGGATGTGACCTAGTTACGTATGGGGTGCGACCTAGTTACGCATGGGGTGGATGTGACCTAGTTACGTGTGTAGTTACGTCACTCATTTAGAATTCTCGTCATCTGCAATTTATTACCAGCAGTAGTATCTATAATAGTGATAATAATAATTATAATATAAATAATAACAATAACCCTATAAAATAATAATTAAAGAAAAATTATCTCGAATAGAGTTACACGACAGATGTCGCAGTACCAATATCGAGATTGGAGCAAGTCGTCGAGGAAGCTAGGGAGATCATCAATAAATCAGGGTTTTTAGGTATGTATCGGTTTGTATCGTATCGGTATCGTATCGGCAAAATATCGGTATTGTAGCGATATTATACCTGTATCATCGATACTATAACGGTTTAATAACGTTATTATACTAGCGTTATAACGATATCTTAACGATATTATAGCGGTTTCATGGCGGTTTTATATTCTTCGTGTTGATTGAAGATGTAGTTGAATATCTGTAGAACATACATACATACATACATACATACACACACATACACACACATACACACACACACACACACACACACACACACACACACACACACACACTACATCTAGGACCTATTGCGGGTCATGTTGGTGATGGGAACTTCCACGCAATTCTATTGTTCAATCCGGCGGACGCAGAGGAGGTGCAGAGGTGCAACCATGTGGCCCATGAAATTTCTAAGTATTTTTCAAATTTATTTTTTCAAATTTATTTTATTAATATTTTTTTAACATTCTGGCATGATGCATTCAGCATATCGTCGCATTAAATCACGATTCATGCGCACGGTTCACACCATACACACGCACAAACACACACAGACACACACAAACATACACACGCACACACCACACGACACAGACTGGCACTGCGGCACGACGGGACATGCACAGGAGAGCACGGCATAGGCCTGGAGAAAAAACTTATCCTTCCAGAAGAAGTGGGCATGGAATCTGTAGACGTGATGAAAAAATTAAAAATGGCACTCGATCCCAAGGGAATTTTGAATCCCGGCAAGTTGCTGGCATAAATATTATTTATTTATCTATTATAAAATTATTATCAAGAATAATTACTATTAATTATTATAATAATATTTAATATTATTAATTATGTGATAATATTTATGTGCTGGCATAAATATTATTTATTTATCTATTATAAAATTATTATCAAGAATAATTACTATTAATTATTATTATAATATTTAATATTATTAATTATGTGATAATATTTAGTTGGATTTTAAGAAATATTATTTTTCCATTAAAAAAGCATAATAAACCGTTCGTTGCCTATGTGTTATAAACCCGTGTTTATTGTAAGTTCCTTCATTTGTTCGTTCGGTTATTCATTCATTCATTTACTCATTCATTCATTTATTTTGTATTTCCTCAATCTTTCATTCATTCTTTTACACATTTATTCACTCATTTATTTGTTTAATCACTCATCGAAAAATGATTTAAAACTTATCAATAGCAATGGAGATTTATATTTTTACCTTATTATTCATTATTCGTTTGTTCAGTTTCAAAAACTAAAAAATACAGTGACAGCAAAATACGTGATTAAAAAAACCGGCGGGAAACTCCAAATTTTGTGTAAATTGCCATTTGAAGATTCCAAAATGCTGAAGCACAAGCACTTTTCAACGTTCCTCTTACAGAAATCAGACGACTTGCACTCACTGGTATCTGAAAAAAAAATTATTTTCCGTATGAAAATAATTGATCCAAGTTTTTTCTTTTCCTCTCTCTCATTTCAATCATCTAGAGTGTGTATGTGTGGCCTAAACTAAGATATGAACGTACATACACACACAACACACACGTACACACACAGATATACACAAACATACACGTCTGATATTAAGATTTTCACAGTAGGGTAAGCCAAAAAAAGATTTTTACTTTTAGATAAGTTAATCAAATTAGAAATAATAAAAAAAATACAAATAAATGATTAATCGAGACGATAAGATACCGACGGAGACATCTCGAATCATCCAGAACATATCCGCTATCGCATACACACTCGCCGATTAGTCGGTTTTTAACTTGATAACTTTTACATTTCAAACCGATCGGACATCTGCCATCCTTCGCCGAACAATCTGCCAATCATTACGTAATGTATTAAAGTGTTGTTGACGCGATAGCCTAACGCTCAAAAGCGTTTGATACTCTTTATTTGCGCGTGTTGCAGTGGCTGGCTTCGAAAGCAAAGCAATGAGGTATGCCGTTTGCATGGGCAGTGTGTTGGGCAGTGAGTGTGTTAAGATTTCTACTTTTATTGAAACCGATTGAAACAGTTGAGTCGTGGTCCCATTTGGTTGTAGAGAGAAAATCTCGATCGTAATATGGGTTTAATTTTAGGTATATGCAAATTGTTTTGTAGCTATGAGACATGGATATCCATGGTGTGAGATTCATGATCTTTAAAAATTATTTCGATAGTTGATAAACAGGAAATAATGAAGAAAAAATCAAATTGACCACCCCTTCGATTGCAAAATGGACCCGTCCATCCATTCATGCACTCGTCAGTAAGGCAGAGGTTATTTTTGTGTTCCGGGCCATCGGCGCAGTGTGCCAACGTCTCATTCAGGAATGTGTATTTGAAGGTGACTTCAAGTTAAAAAATAATTATAATAATATTATAATAATAATTTATGACACAAACATATATATATATAATTAAAGTTAACTTCACTTTTATATAAACTGTAAAAATTTTGCCCCCCACAGAATCTTTCCGAGTCCTGCGAACACTCAGAGCACGGACTTAGTGTTGAATTTTGAATTTCTACCAACAAATCACTGTTGCTTAAACACGCACATTCCGTTTGATTCTACAAAAAAATGGATGAATGAAAGGATGAATGGATAGATGGATCGATTGATGATTATGATAGATGGATGAAAAAATGAGCGAATGGATGATAGATGAATGAATGAATGGATGGATGAATGATTGAAAATATTGATGGATGAATAGAATTGAAAAAAATTGAATGAATGAATGAATGAATGAATGAATGAAATGATATATTAGAATATATAGACGAATAAAAAGATGGATTAATGAAGGAATGAATAAACAAATGAATAAAAATAGATGGATAAATGGATAACTTGATAAATGAATAAAAAAAATTTAGAGTTTCTTACGTGATATGCGGCAAAATGGTTGCCACTATCCAAACAATAACTCAAGCAGTCCTTCAAAGTCAGCTTTAATACTATAAAATGAACTTCTGCAGACTTCTGATAACAGCCGATGTAGCTTATGTCGTAATTATTCACATGTCTTACTGGAAAAAATTGTAAAAAATATGTTTAAATTAAAATAAATTATGCAAATTCTTCATCAAAATCATGTACTCGTGTACACAATCTCAACCGACCAGCGTAGATTGCGAACGAAGTCGAACCACCGCACGGCGTGTCATCTCCGAGGTCGGCGTCACGGCAGGCCGCCTTACACATTGAGCTAGGCAGTTTCAGACCGTAGACCGCTGTGCAATAACATTTTGTACCTTGCTAATAGGTAAAAAGTAATTATTATTGTAATTATTATTATTATTATGCATCTTCTTCTTATTATTATTACTATTATTACTGAAAAATATAAACGTAAACTTGTTAGACGAGCATTAAAATCAATGCTATCGATGATGATGGTAATACGACTGCTGCTACTACTACTACTGCAACTGGCTTCTACTACTACTACTACCAATACCACTACTACTTCAACTACTACTACTACAACTAATAATAATAATAATAATAACTCTGATAGCCATGAATGGAAGTTTGTTACTGGAGCAGAACTCGTTGCACAGGCTGAATGAGTTTATCTTCGGACTACCGACGACAGACGAGATGATTCCGTTGTAGCATCCCATATAAACTGGCGCCAATTCTATTATTAGTAATATTATTATTATTATTAGTAGTAGTAGTAGTAGTAGTAGTAGTTAGTAGTAGTTGTTGTTGTTATTGTAGTGGTAGTAGTAGTTGTTGTTGTAGTGGTAGATAGTGGTAGTAGTAGTAGTTGTTGTAGTGGTGGTAGTAGTAGTATTAGCACCATCATCATCATTATAATATTTTAATTATTACAAAAATAATTATTACACCTGCAAGTATTGTTCATACAAACCTTTTGTGTAAACTTCAATTTCAGCGAAGCCCAAACTACCCTTCGAATCGTCAACGAGTTTGACGATAACGAAACGATACTCGATAAATTGCCTAATGCATTTAACCTTCATAGACACGCCACTACTACCAACTTGCAGCAACCACCGACCACATACATACATTTTCTCAAAATTTGGTCTCACAGGGTGGAAATGATTTGAGAGCTTTATCTCAAACTTTCCGAGACACTTATCGAGACAGATTTCGTTAAAGATAACGACAAAATTGACGGTGTAATCGTCTATAAGATCCACGGCAAACCACTCTTGAGAATTTCGGTTAGGGTTGATGCTTTTCAGATAGTTGGCTAGTTTGATGAGGCCATCAGTGGCAGTAGATAGTTTTGGGCTGTTGTAGTTTAGACTGAAGTAAGTTGGTTTGCTGTAGGCTGCATTGACCCTTACACCGTATGGCATTGATATTGGTATGACTGTAGATTGTGGTGAAATTATGGTGAAATTATGATGGAATTATGACAAGATTATGGTGAAAAGGTGGTAAAATTATGATGAAATTAGGATAAAATCATGAAATAGTTAAAGGGATTCAAGCGCAATAGAAAAATGGCGAATATAAATTTCCCTATTTGAAAAAATAAAATTCGCCAAAGAGAAGAAATCTCTCCCACTTTGTCTCCCTCCGTCTTCATCAACATATTCTCCGGGGTAAGCCAGGCAGGTCCCGAAATTTATAGACCCTATATGGTCACTCTGGCATCGAAATTTGCACCTATGGCTGGCACAGTCTTAATTTGAGGACAAAAAATTAAAATAAATTGATAGATAGGAATATTCATGAGAATCATTTTTTAGTTCTGTTTAGCTTTTTATGGGATTGAAATGAATATTTGAATAAATGGATCGATGGATGAGTGAATGAATGAATGAATGGATGAATGAAAGAAAGAAAAAAGGAAGGAGCAAACAGAGAAAAACCTTTGTGTACACAGCCAGGCGGCAACCTACCGACACCACATTCATTCGACAAACAGTTAGCAGACTGATCAATCATTTGGTTATCCAGACACGTTCGATTCAACACTAACTCAGATAACAACATTTTTTCTGGCTCCACTGAAAAATTATAAAATATAATATAAATATATAATTAAGATATATCATTAAATTATTGATGCTGCAAAAAGCTTACGCTTCAATCTTTGTAAACTTTAAAAGCCGTGCTAGCTTCATAACACGCCCGTCGTAATTATAATCATAATAACAATTCTTATTATAGATAAAAATATAAATAATAATTATTATAATTAAAGTGTGTTTCAATATCATCAGTTCCATTTTTTTTCCTGAAATTTTCATTTCTCATTTCAAATTCACACAAAGACTTTATACAATTTAACTTCCACCCAACTAAAATTTCTATCGCGGGTGGGTAGTTCAGCCCTGAAGCCGAAGCCCCCCCTGGCTACCACTTCTACGGACCAACCTTTATAAACTTGATTAGCATTGATACCCCCGCATAGCTGTATGGGGACACTCGGGCAGTGCATGTCGCAGTTCCAGGCAGACCCAAGACTGTCATACACATCTGAGCAATAACAATATTTCCCCGCCTATTTTAATTATAGTAATAATAATTATAATTGCATTTCAATTTCAATTTTTAATTTACTTCTAAATTATTATTTAATTATAGTTGCATTAATTACAGTTATGGTAATTATGGTTATAATAATTATAGTTATAATAATTCTAGTTATAATAATTATAGTTATAACAATTTTAGTTATAATAATTATAGTTATAATAATTTTAGTTACGATAATTATAGTTACAACAATGATGATGATGATGATGACAATGAGGATGATGATAAATATGTATAATGATAACACTGATAACAACTACAACAGAAATAATAATAAGAAGAAAAGGAAAAATAATAATAATATATAATAATAATAGTAATAATAATAATAAATAATAATAATATAGAACCTGAGTAGCGAAATAAGATTTGTTGCACAAATCTCGACACATTTCGTTATCGAGTCGAGACGATTTCGATATAGGCGGGCCCATCACCTCTGTGTTCGTCTCATCCGTGTAACATCCAACATAATGCGTTACAGCCTGCTCGACCTTGTCTGAAACTTGGTATATAAATTATGGTCATAATTGTGGTTATAATTATGGTCATAATTATGGTTATAATTATGATAATTATGGTTAAAATTATGATAATTATGGTTAAAATTATGATAATTATGGTTAAAATTATGATAATTATGGTTAAAATTATGATAATTATGGTTAAAATTATGATAATTATGGTTAAAATTATTATAATTATGGTTAAAATTATGATAATTATGGTTATAATTATTGTTAATGTTACTACTACTGATATACTGCTGACACTAAATGAACAACAACAATAATAACAACTATAATAAAAATAATAATTATAATAATAATATTAATAAACCGACTTTTATACACGGAGTAAGTAAGCTTTCCGCCGCAAAATCCTGCCATGTTAGGGCAGAAGATATCACAGTGCGTAGATGATATGGATTTCCCGCTCTTTTCTCCGCACGTACATTCAAATCCCTTCTAAATTATTATTATTTATTGTTATTATTATTATTATATAATATATATAATATATTATATAATATATTATATAATATATATAATATATTATATTTTTATTTATATTTTGGCTTTTGAAGAAATAAAAGAGTTCTCATTATTATTATTATTTGTACTACTGCTGCTACTACTGTTGTTCTACTACTACTACTGCTTCTGCTACTACTAATAGTAATAATATATATATATATATTTATAAAATTACAGAGAAACGTTCTAACAGTCAGTGCAAATAGCTTGGCTTTAGATTTGGAACAAAACTCAAAGCAACTTTTTATAGAATCAGTTCTTGTAGGATTGTCTGTCGGCTCAAACGTCAGCTGGCACCCGATGTAATCATTTTCATACATCTCTGAGAAATAATTATTACACTGTTTGGCTAATGTGGCTAGAGCCTCATTGAAATCTAGAAGTGTTCGCTATATAAATATATTTGATTGATTGATTGATCAACTATTATTATTAGTATTATTATTAGTATTAATAGTATTATTATTATTATTATTTTTATTTTTATTATTATTATTATTTATACGATTAAGTGTTTGTTATTAATAAAAGTTATAACGGACCCTCGCCGAAAACTTCAATCTCACTGATGTACATGCGCTTAATGCTCATAACTGCATCAGACTGTCTCACGCAGAGGAATCTGGCAATCCTTCCTGACCCCGAAAAATCCAGAATCACATTTTTGGTCACTTGGCCTTTGTGCTGGTACCAAACTTCGAAGTCATCTTCCAGGAAGTCATAGTCGATGTTTGGGCTTATGTTGGGCTGCAGCTTTCCGAGTTTAAAGTTCGCCAGGCCATCTGTAAATGTTTTGGATGGAAATTTATGAATTATTATTATTATTGTTATTAGTACTATTGTTGCTGTTGTTGTTATAAGATTACCCTCATCATAACTAGTTCATCTCTGCAACAATCTTCACAGTTCTACAACATCAGCACCGTCTACATCAAACTATTATTATCGCCACAAGCAAAACAACATTACCGCGACAATAGCAACGTCATCATTTAAGTCACAACTACATCATAGTCGTCATCATCTACGTCATACTTACAAGCTCATCGTCATCATTCTCGTCATCATCATCGTCGTCGTCATCACCATCAGCAACGAACCTCTCATAGAAGAGGCACCATCAACAGGGTATAAAGTAACGGAAATGACGTAATAACTTTCCACCAAATCCACAATCACCCAGGCGTCGTAATTAGTTAGGTGCTCGCCAAAATTATCTCTTCCTACCAACCCATCCGTGATTCTATCTCCCCAGAACCCTTTCTTCATGCTGACCATCTTGTTTAAAGCTATGTTAGTGGCACCTAAAGGGAATAAAGTTAGTTGATTAGTCAATTAATTGGTCAATTAGACAGATAATTATGTAATTAATTGGCTAATTGGGTGATTAGTTGGTTATCTAATTGGGTGATTAATTGTTTAATGGATTATCTAATTGGGTGATTAGATCGTTGATGGGTTATCTAATTGGGTGATTAATTGGTTAGCTAATAAGGTGGTTAATTAGTTAATTTGTTATTCAAGTTAATTAATGAGGCGATTATGAGATAACTTAATTGCTTAATCAGGTTATTTTACGCTAATACGTTTGAAATCAACGTATTAAGCACTTTTTGGGTAATATAAGTTTGATTATCTACTACTTCACCACTCCTTGGCACTTATATACTAGCTATTGTTGCAGATTATTTGATATTTTAACCAGATGGTTTGCAAAATCATGGATTTAGTAAACTTTTCAAGAAATCCGTTTACGACAAAACATTTCATATCAAATTTTTTTTCAAGTTTGTCGAAATAGTTAGAAAAGTAAAATCCAAAAATAATGACCAATTTCAACGAATAAAACAGTAAATACAAGAAGAACGTAGCATCGCCGATTCAACTCGCACACCACCACCACCATCATCAACGAGTTACAATTATCCGATTCGGTATTAATCGATTCGGTAATACGATTTCAACGAAATTAACCATTATAAATAAACCAAAACTTTGAACTTTTAAACGAAAAACAAACGGAAAAACTTAAATTGAAAATTCGATCACAAAACGTAAACAAAACAGATGACGTCATAATAAACAGGATTATCTCGGGGAAAGATATTAAATAAGAAAAGATAATTTTTGCCATTTTTATTTTTCAAAAGACAATTTTTATCAAGATATTTATTTACACAAATCGCAAAACAGAGTGTTTTTATCTTTTACCAAGGTCATCATCATCATCCTCATCATTATTATTATTATTATTATTATTATTATTATTATCATCATCATCAACGTCAACATAGATGTTTTGTTCAATCATCTCGAAATTAGGAATCTCAGAAAAATTTTCTTCCTTCATTTTTCCATTCTGAAATATTTAATAACAATAATATTATTATTATATTATTATTGGTTGGTTTGTAAGCGTCCAGTAAAAAGATCTCAGAGGCGCAAAAGATTATTGCAGTACATTGTGTAGCGCTTTATTGAAGCTTTATTGAAGAATGGAGAGAGAAAGACATTAACAGAGAAAATCTTTCGAAACCGTCTAATAGAGTAAGTAAGCAAGAGCAATAATAATAATAATAATAATAATAATAATAATAATAATAATAATAATAATAATAATAATAATAATAATAATAATAATAGTAATAGTAATAGTAATAATAATAATATAATTACAATTATTATTATCATGAATATACATACTTACCGACTTTTCATTGTCAATACTTATGCAACTTTTCCCATTACGAAAGCAGTCAAACAGCAGATTTGAATCAACCTCATTGGCTCCATTTAATCGATCTATTATTACATTTAATTAATGAAATAAATCAACTAATAATAATAATAATAATTTAGCAAAAATTAATTATCATGAATAATGTCATAAAAATCTCGCTAAAAATTTTTATTTCCAAATTAGAAAAAATTTAAATTTGTCTATTATTATATATTTCTAAATATATAGTTATATACCCATTTTATTATTTTCCATAAAAATAATTTTATTATTTCTCACAAAAAGCAAAAGAACCAACTTATTATCAATGAAGCAACTGTAGAAACAATGACTGTGATGAAGAAATTGATCAGCCCGTAGTAATAATAGGCTAGTTTAAAGACCCACAGTGTATCTTCATCTCTGTTTTCGACAAAAATGTAAAAATTATTTTAAAATAATTATTCATATTAATATATTTTTTTTAAAGTTTTAGCCTTTTCATGTTTTAAAGTGCAATTCAATTTATTATTGTGAGAAATTTGAGTTTTTAAAAAGAAATTTTGTAACATAAAAATCCTGAAAAGAGATGCTATAGTTCGATTTCTATGAATTCAAACGCAAAGTGACCCACTAATATCATACACACACGATGTTTGAACGTGAAAGTTAAACCAGGTACTATATCAATTAAAACATCTCATAGTAGTCATAAAACTTTAAAAAAATTCAAAAAGTCCATCCAAAATTTTAAAAAACTTTAAAAAATCCATCCAAAATACTTTGAAGTACTATAAGAGGAAGTGAAATCTTCAGTGGTAAAGTTACTGGAAAAATTGTATCGAGTGAAGTTGAGGTGTGCACATCCTGAATTATCGAAGGGTAAGGTGGGGGTCGATATCTTGACCGCTAGAGCCCCTATGGCAACCCAGAATCCATACACCACACCGACTGTCAATCCGATTAGGCAGCCCTTAGATTTGGAGTGGTGAATGAAATTTTTATTTTTTTTGCTGTTTAAATAAAAATTTCAGTTTGACCTATTAACCTTATTAGACTAAATACTCCTTCATCTATTTAAATTTTGAAAGGAATTAAGTTAGAGTATAGATGTAAAGAAATTACAAAAGTATGAAACTTACAAAGTTAGTGAAAAAACTTTTTGAAGTGATTTAGAAATTTATTTAACAAAAATCTCTCAACACAATCATTCATTCCAATTCTTATTTTTTCTACCAACGGTTGCATTAGCAAAGGAACAGAGCATTCCTAGGGTGATGACCCCGAACAGAGGACAGCCCGTGACTCCAGCCACTGAAAAGGCAAGTTGGTTGGCGGATTCACCCAGAAAATGAGCGTTGTAAGCCATCACTATCGTCCAAACGCCGCTAAATAAGACTAAAAAATGAGTTTTTTATAAAATTTAAAATTAAAAAGTTGAAAAATAATAAGATTAATGGAAAAAATATTAATGAAATAATAATAAATTCACACAATTTCTACCTCACCTAATAATCGCGTTAAAATGATCCTAAATTTCTCGCTTAGAACAAAAGTAGTTTTGCGAAGAACTGGCTCTATAAAATCTGTCAAAAGAACTGCTGCCAAGCCATTCAGACAGCCGGACATCGAGCTATAATAAACATAAAAAATTACGTCATAATTACGTCATAATCGATTATAATTATTTATTTATGATAATAATAAATTAAAAAAAACGTTTTAACCTAAGGGCGGCACTGAAAGCAACGGTCATGAACAGCCCGGATAACCCTGGATAGCCCTCTAAAATTTCAACCATCATTAACGGAACGACCTTATTGTAATTATCAATTACAATTAGCTAATTAATTAATTAGTTGATTGACTAACTAGTTAATCGATTAATTAATTGGTCAATTATTTGCTTGTCTATTAGTTTGCTTGGTTAACTTATTCGTTTTTCTCAGTAAAAACTACTACTACCACAAAAGTATCAATAACAATAACACCACCACTAACAACAATAATAATTGTAATAAAAATAATAGTAATAAAAAAAATAATAATAATAGTAATAATAATAACAAGTGACCTGATCTAGTTTTCGAACTCGGGCACTTGAGAGTGGGTCACATCGGTAGTAGAAGGCGTAGCTGAGCAGACCCATTGCTATAACGAGGACGAGAATCGTGAAGCAGCAGATTATACTCAAGTATAGAGATCTAGATGGACAAAAAATTGATGATGGGGCCCATTCAATAATTACGTCACGATTTTTATGTCATTTTTTAACCCCTCTCCCCCTCCTTGCTACATCGAGCCACGCTCAGCTATAGGATAAGGCCCGAGAAAGAAAGACAGTGATCGAATTTAGGAATACAATTATTAAATTTAATTAATTAAATTTAATAATTTATTAAATTAAACTAATTTAATTTATTAAATTTACTATATTTCTCAAACTTAATCATCTTTCCTTACTTGTAGGCGCTTTTTAAGTTCTTCGAACTCAGAAACTTCTGCACGAGGACCTGGTTAGCTGACATAGTGTACGCTGTGAACAAGGTGCCGCCCAGTACCTGGGTCCAAAATGTTGTCCTCAGTGTTGGATCTATTCTGAAACTTTGTATGTGTGCGTGTGTGTGTGTGTGTGCGTGTGTGTCTGTGTGTGAGTGTGTGTGTGTGTGTGCGTGTGTGTGTGTGCGCGCGTCTCTTTTAATAGATTGATCGAGTGATTGATTGAATGGATGAATGAAAGAATGGAGTGAATGAATGAATGAATGAATGTATGAATGAATGAATGAATGAATGAATGAATGAATGAATGAATGAATGAATGAATGAATGAATGAATGAATGAATGAATGAATGAATGAATGAATGAATGAATGAATGAATGAATGAATGAATGAATGAATGAATGAATGAATGAATGAATGAATGAATGAATGAATGAATGAATGAATGAATGAATGAATGAATGAATGAATGAATGAATGAATGAATGAATGAATGAATGAATGAATGAATGAATGAATGAATGAATGAATGAATGAATGAATGAATGAATGAATGAATGAATGAATGAATGAATGAATGAATGGATGAATGGATGGGTGAATGAATGAACCAACAAATGAATGGTTGATCGCTTACTCGTTGAAAATGAATCTTCCTCCATCCAAATTCCTCTTCAAAAACTCACCGAAACCACCAACCCTAGCTATTCCAACACCAATAACTGTGATTAAACCGAAGAAAATGATCATCATTTGAACCGTGTCATTGAATGCCGTTGCTTTCATCCCCCCCTGAATTCAAATTATGATTTATTATTTAATTATAATTAATTTAATTATAATTATTCATAATTATTATTTCTCGTTACAGTTTTGTTAAGTTTATCTCGTTAAATCGATTCCAGACAGAAGTCGTTGAAATAATATGTAGACGAGATGGAATGATATTTATGCTGGAAGTTGGATTATAATTTGTATGTGTATGTGTGTTTGTGTGTACGTGCGTGTGTGTAGGTGTACGTATTTAATGTATGTGTATATGTGTGTTTATTGTTGATAATACATACAGCCAATGTATTTTGGAATGTTTAATGTATGTGTGAGCGTGTGTGTGTGAGCGTGTGTGTGTGAGCGTGTGTATGTGAGCGTGTGTGTGTGTGTGTGGTGTGTGTTCATATATATTGGTATAATCATATTAAGTTCTATTATTCATTTATACAATTATTAAATTAATTAATTGTTAAATTATAACATTAAATTACAAAATTAAAACGCCTAACTAGACATGTGTACAGCGTGCAGACCAATCCGCAGAAAATAATCGACCATAGTATCGAGATACCGGTCACTGAATGAATGAACGAACGAATGAATGAATGAATGAATGAATGAATGATTGAATGAATGAATGAATAAATGAATGAATGAATGAATGAATGAATGAATGAACTAATGAACGAATGATTGAATGAATGAATGAATGAATGAATGAATGAATGAATGAATGAATGAATGAATGAATGAATGAATGAATGAATGAATGAATGAATGAATGAATGAATGAATGAATGAATGAATGAATGAATGAATGAATGAATGAATGAATGAACTAATGAACGAATGATTGAATGAATGGATGGATGAGTTATTATTAATTATGCTTGTAGATAATTTTTAAATAATATTCTTTATTTTATAACTGAACCTTGTGCCAGTGCAAGAGCTGGTGTATAGAGAACTAGAGGGATATATAACAGCTGACGTGAAATAAAATATTAATTATTAAATAATTATGGTCATATTATCATATTTATAAAACTATAATTAACGAAAATTATTTTTCAACTGAGTGAAATTAAATGTGAAAATAAAAATATCTCGTGACTCAGCCATTGCAATGGGGTTTTTCAGATATTTCATAAAGTAGAAATAAATTTTTACTCGAGGTTACATTAACTGTTATTAACCGGTCCCAAACCGCCCCCTAGCTACTACCCTCTGTGAATATTGCTAACCGTTTCGAGGAGAAAGATAACAGAACCACAAACTCTGATGAATTTATTGAATCGTCTCTCCAAGTACTGAGATGAAAGAATTAATTTTAAGATGAAAAGTTCGACACAGGAATGCAAACGGCAATCCACATACATCACAGACAGTCAAAATTTTCATTCCAGACAAGAATGTAAAAACAAAAGTAACAACAAATCTACCTCGTAAACGGTCAAGATTTTCATTTTATACAAGACAGGGATGTAGAAATGAACAACCAGTGGCTTCCCGATAAAGTAGGACAGCCCCAAGTAGCTATAGCAAGTCCCATAAGCGTACACCTCGCCCGGGGTCGAGAGCAAAAAAATCGCGGAAAAAAATGAAGCCTGCATAGAGAAGGAAATGAAAATCCAGTGTATCTCTCCACCGCCTGTGAGAAACTTCTCTGAGGAGGTCGATCTACGACTCCGCCAGCCGAAGAAAACTCCAACCAACGTTGAAAAGGCTAAGAATGCTATGAATATTGTGTGATCGAGCCAATGAAAATGAGCCGTAGTTGCTGATGTAGCTATTGTTGATGCTGTTGTAGCTATTGTTGATGTTGTTGCAACTATTGTTGACGTTGTTGCGGCTAATGTTGATGTTGTTGCGGTTATTGTTGACGTTGTTGCAGCTAATGTTGATGTTTTTGTTGCAGGCATTTCTATTCCGTTCTGTATTTTCCTCTAAATATGTTTTATTATTGGTTATTTATTGATAATATTTTTAATCAGTTTATTAATTTGTTTCTTCATTTAATTTATTGGTTTTATAATTTATTGGCCTGACAATCTGCAATATATATATATATATATATATATATATATATATATATATATATATATATATATATATATATATATATATATATATGTATATATATATATATATAAAGAGAGAGAAAAAGAGAGAGAGAGAGAGAGAAATAGGAAGAGAGACCTTGAATTTTTATTATGACGGTTTATTAATTAAGTTTGCGTCATTATCGTTAATCCAGACAGAAAAGTTGCTTGAATAATTAATCAGTAATATATAATAATAATAATAATAATTATAATAATGTTATCGCTCAATTTTAGACCGGTATCATATCAAAGGTTGAATAACTAGAAGAGAAAAAAATCTATCCATAAATGTACCTATGTACAGATAATTCTGTAGATATTAATTTTTCAACAGATGTGTTTCATGTTGTCTATACTTTGTTTTGTCGTTGGTGACGATGACGTCATAATTGTTGTTATTAGTATTATTATCGTTGTTATTATTGCTATTATTGCTATTTAATAATTTTTTTCAAATGTTGCCATGTTAAGTATCAAAAAGTCAGTAGACGAAACTCGAAGTTTTTCAACTTTTTTTTTGCTCATCATTCAATTTATCTTTATTTTCTTGTCAAAATCATCATAATTATTGCAATTATCAACATTTTTCATCATCATTATCATCATCAGCAGCAGCAGCATCAGCAACATCAGCAGCTTCGGCATCATCTCTTCATCACTTCCATCATCATTCACCTTCACTGTTCTCTAAGGCCATCACTTAGTTTATCATACTTAAAGTTATCAACATTTTCATCATCGCCATCACGATTTCTATCATCATTGTCGGGTTTTTCACCATCATCGTCGTCGTCGTCATCTTCTTCTACTTCTACTTTTATCGTTCGTTCGATTAGACCCAAATTGGAAACATCAATCAAGGCTTTGCTCAGTCTTACCTTATTCAATCTTTCCTTCTGTTAAAAACGAAAAAAATGTAAGCTGTAAGGTCAAATGTAAGGTCAGATTAAGTTTATTGAAACACACAAGGTTATAAAAGTTGCAGATCTTATATTCAACAAAATGTCAGGTATCTACTGGTTAAAAAGTTACAAAACTTGTGTATAAGCATATATTCAACGAAAACACACGCCTACCTCCAAACACTCGCACAGTTTCTTCACAATCGCATGTTTAGAGTTATTTAGAGTTATTCAGTTTAAAATTGTAAAAAAAAGTTGAAATTTAGGAGTTAAAGGATTGTGAAACTCACAATTTCTTCGTCAATTTGCGATTTTTCATTCTTCCTCACGCACCTGAACAATAGCATGGGATCGACTTTTTTGTTTCCGCCTAGCAGGAGAGGAAAAACGTGAAAAAATATTGAAATAATCTAATTATTATTATATTTATTATGAATAATTATAATTACAATTAAATTTTGTTATATTTTATATTATTTTATTATAATTAATTATATAGTTGTAAGTAAGTTTGCTATTTAGGTACATATGCGGCCCTTTAAAGGTAAAATAGTTCTCAGCAAGGCGGCCCTCACGGCAAAAAGTTTGCCCACCGACATTGTAAATTGTAATCGGCATATAATTTAATGTGTAAATCTGTAAATTTGTAAACTATAATTTGTAAAATGTAAACTGTAACTTGTAAATTTACGATTCTTTACAAACCCGTGGCCACAGAAACGAGTGCAACTACGATTAGCGTGAAGATGAAATTCACAAGACCGTAATAGAAAAAGGACAGCTTGAAGATCCATAAAACATTATCGTCTTCAACTTTTCCAGCATCTGGCAAACTAAATTGTATAAGTACTAATTATGAATTATTCATTAATTATTAACAATTATAACAACAAAAAATGATAATTATTCATATTAATCATGATAATTTCATAAAAACTATAAATGATTATGAATAAAATAGCAATTAAACTGATAATTATTCTTATAAGAAATTGATAATTTCAAAGATTGTAACCCCCTAGAGGTCAAGTTACTCGCCAAACCTTCTGTAGTCGCACCGCTGGTAAAGTTATAAAAAGTGGTAGAATTAAGGTACGAGCAGCCGGAATTGTCAAAGGGTAACATAGGGGCCGTAACTTTGACGGCAAGGGCCGCAAAGGCAACCCACGACCCAAACACGATGCCAGCAATTAATCCGACAATGCAGCCCTACCGCATATAAAAAAATTTTTAAATTAAATTTCATAAGTAAATTTATTACTTATTAATAATTAAGCAAACAATAATAATCATTCAGTCATAAAATATTACAAAAAAAAATTAAAAAAATAATAAAAAATAATAAATAAGCCAGATTTTTCAGAAAAACTGACTGTAATATTAGTGAAAGAGCATAGCATTCCTAGAGTTATAACAGCAAACAATGGACCGCCGGTTATTCCGCAAGCTGAAAATGACAATTGCATGGTTGATTCACCCAGGTAATGAGCATTGTAGGCCAGTATTGTTGTATACAAGCCACTGAACAACACTAAACGAAGGGGTTTTTATGATTTAATGGTAAAGTTTAACGTTCTAAATGGTTATCTACTGGTATTCTTATTAATATTTGTGGTATTAACCAGGCGCTTTAACCATTACACCATCTTGTAGCCGGATTTAAATGGAATAGTTAAAGAATTGAATAGTTCTTCTATGGATAGCACAAAATTCAGTAGCACAAAATTCAAAAAATATAGATCAAGAATTTGAAATAAAAAATAGAAATTTTCCTACCCAACATTCTTGTCAGTATAACTCTGGATCTATCTTTCACAGCTCTGCGGGTTTTTCGGAACGTGGGTTCTATGAAATCTGTCAAAATGACAGCTGCCAATCCATTGAGACATCCAGACATGGAACTGCAAATATACAATATAAAAATTCACTCATTCATTCATTTGTTCATTCACTCACTCATTCATTCATTCATTCATTCGTTCGTTCGTTCATTCATTCATTTATTCATGCATTCGTTCATTCATTTATTTTTACTGGTTCGTTTCATTCATTCACTCACTCATTCATCCATTTCACAAAAATAACTTTCTACTTTTTGTTTAAAATCAACTATCTAATTAAATCTCGATATATAAGAAACGTAATTCTCAATAAATTATTCACCAATTAATTAATCAATTAATTAATTAATTAATTAATTAATCAATTAATTAATTAATTACAATTTTATAAAAAAAAGTTTCTCGACCTAAGGGCAGCACAGAAAGCAGTGGTGATGAAGAGCCCTGGCAGTCCAGGGTACCCTTCCAAGATCTCCATGACCATCAGAGGGACGACCTTCAATATTATTTGTTCACGTAATAGTGTTTAACATTCAACTTGTGTTCTCTTTTTTTTACGATTGTATATGTTGGATGTGGAAGTAGAATGATCTGGTAAGAGGGCCATACTTCATGAAAGTTGTGAAGTTATTTTTAGTAATTTTATACTGATACATTTTCATATTAAGAATTAATAAAAACAAATAAAAGTACATAAAAATTTTAAGAACCTGGTCCAGTTTTCCAACTCTTCCACTCGTTAGCGGGTCACACTTGTAGTAGAAGGCATAACTTAGCAGTCCAATGCAAGTTATAAGCATCAGTATGCAGAAACAACAGATTGCACTCAAGTAGAGTGCCCTGCAGCAGCGAAAAACGTGCATTTTGATTGAATATAAACAATGAAAATAACAAAAAATGCCAAGAAATACAACACAAAAATGAATCACACACACACACTTGTAGGCGTCTTTGACTGTTTTGGAGCTGAAAAACTTCTGGACAATGACCTGGTTGGACGAGAGGTTGAACGTTGTGTAGAATATTCCGCCCAAAACTTGAGTCCAAAATGTCGTTCGTAGAGTTGGATCGATTCTGAAACTTTTTGAAGAAACATCAAAAAACTATCAAACTTTTTCTACTAGTTTTACAAATATACAGGTTAAATAATAGCGTAACAGTTAAAGGCGCCTGGCCCGGCAAGTGCAAACAGATCCACAGTTTATGTAAAACACCAGAGATGATAACTCCTAACTTTTAACCTTTCCTTTTTACAACTATTACAATGAGATAAAAATTTTGAGGGACAGTAAGTTAGCAAGCAGTTACTTTTGAAAAAATACCCCTAACTCATTGAGGATAAATCTACCGCCTTCCAAATTTCTCCTATAAAACTCGCCAAAACCGCCAACTCTTGTGATCCCGACGCAAATGACGGTTATGAGGCCAGTGAAGATGATGACCATCTGGACCGTGTCGTTCCAGGCCGTAGCTTTCATTCCACCCTACAATAATTATAAATTATTATAAATTATTATTTTGTGATAATTATTTCATAATTCTATAATAATTATTACTATTATTTTAGGTGTTATTTCAGAATTTGAATGTTATTCACGTTCTACGATTACTCAATATGAATAACTGAGAGGTTTTTTTTTCTTTTAAATAAGAAATTCATTTTCAATCCAGTCACAAATGAGTTGGAAACAAACTAACCAGACAGGTGTATAAGGTGCATACTAGGCCGCAAAATATAATTGACCATAAAATAGAGATTCCAGTAACTAAATATATTTCGGTAAAGTTTGAATAATCAAATTCGTTATCATAATTATCGATATTTATATAATATAATAATTATAATATAATAAATAATTATATAAATATAATAAATTTATATTGTTTAATAATCAGCACCGTGTCTTCCTTTCTTACATACCTTGAGCTAAAGCCAGAGCTGGTGTATATAACACAAGAGGTAAGTAGAGAAGCTAGATTTTAAAAAATTATGGAAAATTATTTTAGACATATAAACTATTTATTAATTTTAAATTCAAATCTGTTATAATAATAATGATTATTAAATTATTAAAATTATTAGATTTATTATGATTAACTAATGTTATTAAAATTATTAAAAATATTTTATTAATATGAAGATCTTTCTTCTAAATGAAAATGGGCTTACTGTTTGAAGAACAAAGATTATGGAACCGCATATTCTTATCAACTTGTTGAATCTTCTCTCTAAATACTTGAAAAAAAAGTTAAAACTTGTTAAATGGAAACCATTTGATTTTTCAGTTTAAACAAAAACTTACATCAAATCTGTTGGCTCATTCATTTATTTGTCCTTTCGCTCACCCATTCATTCATTCATTCATACAATCAATCATTCAATCAATTAATCAATCAATAATCATTCATTCAATCAATCATTCAATCAATCATTCAATCAATCAATCATCAGCCAAACACATCACCTCATAAGCACTGAGTATCTTCATCTTATAGAGTATCGGTATATAGAAGTGCATTGCTAGTGGCTTCCCAATGAAGTAAGAAAGTCCCAAATAGCTATAGCAAGTCCCATAGGCATATATCTCGCCAGGAGCGGATAGGATAAAGATGGCAGAGAAGAAGGAAGCCTGCATGGAGAATGATATCAGTATCCAATGTATTTCTCCACCACCAGTTAAAAATTTCTTTGATGAAGTCGTCTTTCTTCCTTGCCAGCCGAAAAATAATCCAACCAAGGTGGAAACTATCAAGAAGGCGAGGAATATCGTGTAATCGAGCCAGTGAAAATGTGACTCGGAGGACGATTGTGATGTTGTCGCAAACATTTTTTGGAAGTTAACTGCTGTTGTAATATTACTTTACATATCTAGGTAGATTAAATATGAAAATTTTTTATTAATTCTTGTTTGATAGTTTTTTTAAGAAAGAAATTATTTTCCCAAAAGACAAATTTTTTTCGAAGTGTTCATTATCTGTGGCAAAAGATCACCCCCTATTTGAAAATGTTTTAATGTAATGAATAAAACATAAGATTGACGTTTGCACCTTAGACCGTGCCCGCGAAATTAAGCCTCAAACCGCGACAACTATCATTTTTCACTTGTGAGTGCATAATTTTCTGGTGTTAATATGTAGTGGCATACGTCTGTGTGTGTGTGTGCGTGTGTATGTGATGTGTGTGTGTTTGTATGTGGATGTATGTATGTGTATAAAATAGTTTGCCCCCCCCCTGATATATATTATATCCTGATATATATTATAACCTTTTAATGGGCGCTATATAAATCATCTAATAATAATAATAATAGTTATAATAATAAAATAATATATTATATTCATGAATGCGAGATCTCTTTGATACCGTTTGAAATTGAAATACCAAGACAAAATAAAAATGAATTGAAACCCGCCACTCAGTACAATCATATATAATCAAAGTTTTATTTTCCCCGGAAGACGATGATGTCATCGGTATAATCAGCGCAATCAACTAACTAATTAATCAATTATCAAATTAGAATGAAGTTACAGAGTCGTTTCCAATGTCAAAATTGCTATTATTGTTGCTGTTGTTAACAACTCTTCTACATCGTATATCATTGTTATTATTATCGATATTATTATTGTTGTTGTTGTTGTTGTTGTTGTTATTATTGTTTTCGTCGTCGTCATCGTCATCATCGGTTTTATTTTTATTATTGTTACTGTTGTTGTTGTTATTGTTGTTGTTGTTGTTGTTGTTGCTGCTGCTGTTGTTGTTGTCGGTGTAGTTGTAACTGTTGATGGTATCTTTGGTTTCGATGTCTTTGTTGATATCGATGGTTTTCATATCTATGTTTTTCATATCTATGTTTTTCATATCTGTGTTTTCCGTACCTTTGTTGTTTTTGAGATCTACGGTGCCGCTGCTATTGATGACGTAATTGTCGCCGGTGACGTCAACAAAGACAGTTATTTCGTTGTCATTTACGAAAGCCAGATTATCGTTCTTTGGAATCTCGTGAATCGTTATTATCGCTACTATGTCTTTCTCACTCTCCTATTGTGATTTACATTTTAATATTTAAATTATAAAATCTATAAAACATTGGCAAAATAATAATAGTAGTAGTAATAGAAGCAGTAGTAGCAGTGGAAGTAGTAGTAGTAGTAGTAGAAGTAGTAGTAGTAGTAGTTATTGTAGTAGTAGTAGTAGTAGTAGTAGTAGTAGTAGTAGTAGTAGTAGTAGTAGTAGTAGTAGTAGTAGTAGCAGAAGCAATCTTATTATTGTGTCTCCATTTTTTGTCAACAAGGAAAATAATAATAATAATAATAACAACAAATAAATAAATAAAACTGGCTTTATCATCACTTACACAAGGCTTCAGCACTTCAACGCCGCAGCTGAGCCAGCGTTTGAAGCCGGTCGGTAAGCAACAGCAGCAGCAGCAGTCCTCAAACCAGTCAATGATTAAAAATGGATCTATGGTCTTCCTACGGCCTATGTTGTTGTATGAGGGCGGATTTGTGTGTGTGTCTGTGTATACAGGTACGTATTATTATTATTATTGTTATTATTATCATCATCATCATTATTATTATTATTATTAAACAAATAATTTTTTCCCAAAAACGCTGTCCAAAAATAGAAGATTTACAAATGTGTGTACATGTTAGTGTGTGTCTGTCTGTGTGTGTGTGTGTGTGTGTGTGTGTGTGTGCGCGCGCGCGTTTAAGTTTCTACGTATTTAGCTACATAATTATTGCCTAATTATATAATTATTAAACCAATCAATTAATTAATTGAATTTAAATAGTCCCCATTAAAAGTTCAGCACCTACCCGTTATGAGCGAGACCGTGATGGCAACTGTGAAGGAGACAATCATCGCCACAAGTCCATAGTACATGAAGGAGATTTTATATATGACCAGTGCGTCGTCATTGCTGAAATTATAAATATTATAATTATAATATAATATTATATTATAATATGTTATATATATATGTGTGTGTGTGTTTTTGTGTGTACGTGCGTGCGAGTTTGTGTGTGTGTGTTTGTGTGTACGTGTGTGTATGATATATTAGAGTATAATATTATTATATCAGTTGGCGGCTGGTTGTATGACGGTTATGACGACGATGATGGCGATGATGATGAGAATGATGATTACAGTGATGATAACGATGAGGTAGATGTGTTTCAAAGAGGATGGTGACCTTGACCCTGAAACTCACTCACCCAGCGGGGGAGGGCGTGGTCGCGTTCCACCTCGTAAGGTTAGCAAAGGAATCGCAGCCGTCAGACCTCATCGGCAGCTTCGGACTGTCCACCTAATGATAACAACAACAACAATAATAATAATAATATAATAATTATTATATAATTATGATGATCATAATAATAATACTTTGAAAATTATGGCTCCTACGGCTATCCAGGATGTGACAATGAAGCTCGAGATCAAACCCAAAAGGGCTCCCTTCAATCAAGAGTATTATTTTAGTATTGTAAAAAGAATAATTGTGGCAGCAGTAGCAGTAGTAGTAGTAGTAGCAGCTATAGCAGCAGTAGTAGTAGTAGTAGCAGTAGTAGTAGTAATGATAAAAAACGAACCAAATTATTGACGAATGGGAAGAAGACCCCAAGGACGACGGTAAAAGTCAGCGGGCCGCCAACGAAACCAAAGATACTAAATGCAATCTGGAAAAGAACCTCCCCGAAAAATTGCGCGGCAAACCCAAGTCCGGTTATCAGGATGCCGTAAAAGAGAGCTGATTGAGTGTGTGTGTGTGTGTGTGTGTGCGTACGTTTTGGTATGTGCGTGTGTATGTGTTTTCTGATTTAGTATCTTGAAAATTTTGAAAAAATATTGTTTCAAAGATACATATTATACAAATAATATCAATCACTCCAAATGAAAAACTCAATGAGGAACAACATTAACAACGACAGCAACGCCAATATATAACATTTAATAATAACAATCAGAAATAATATAATAACTATAATTATAAATAATTATAGCCATAAATAATATTCATTGTGAAACGAAACGTTACAAACTCAAGGCTCTCGATAGCACGGCCCTCGCCTTCTCATCCAAATTTGCGTTCTTCAGCCTTTTATAAGCTGGATTGATGAAATCAGTCAGAGTCACGGCTGAGAGTGCATTTAAACTGCCTGACAGAGAGCTGGGATGAATGTTATGGTATGGTAATTATTGCCATTTTATTCTTTTATTTGGTTTTTTCGTACTTTCCACCGTTCATTCGTTCGTTTGTTTGTTCTTTCATTATTTCGTTCGTTTGTTTGTTCTTTCATTATTTCGTTCGTTCGTCTCATCCTTCGTAATCTCATTCGCTGGTGTATTCGAAGTTATTCTTTTCATTCATTCCGTTATTCTTTCGTTCATTCGTCTATCTATCATTTAATTGTTCGTTCGGTCATTCGTTCATCCGTTCGTTCGTTCATTCATTCATTCATTCATTCATTCATTCATTCATTCATTCATTCATACACTTATAAATAGAAAATATTTTTGAGAGCTCTTCATGATGATAAAAATTGCAACCATGCTACAATTGTTTACTGAAATTTTCAAGGGCTGTTTATCACAAAAACGTTATCAGTTATTTATAGGAGTTCCTTTGTTTCAATATTTTGTCATTAAAGAATTAAAATATGTTTCTAAATTAATTAATAATTTTTTCAAAATTGGTCTTAGCAACAACAACAAACAACAACAAGCAACAACAACAAACAACAACAACGACAACAACAGCACACAATGTACGTGATTGATGAAGATCTTTTTGCAATAAAAACCAGTCACTGCGACAGTAAAACCAAGCGCCTTAACCACTAAGCCACACATACAGCTTACCTTAGAGCGGCACTGAACGTAGCGGCAATGAATAGGCCAGGCAGACCGTGTAAGTGGCCAACAATGTCCATCACGTATAATGGAATCAACTGAGGAGAAATTTGTTGGAAATATTTTATTGCAATTTAATGATATTATTGTATGTGTTTCTCTCTCTTTATCTCTCTCTCTTTCTCTGTGTGTGTGTGTGGTGTGTGTGTTTGTGTGGTGCGTGTGTGTTTGTGTGGCGTGTGAATTAATTATTCCTGAAAATAATTATGTCACTTGGTCATATTTCGTAATTCTTCCCTCTAGGAACGGGTCACATGTTGCGTAATATGCGTAGGCCACCAATCCAATCAGGCAAACCAGTATCAGAAATAGGGCAGTAGTAACTGCCGCCATCCACACGGATCTGAAGGAGAGAGGAAAAGTTTTTCTTTTCAAATTGTTTTTAATTTTCGAATAATTGTTTGATGTAAATAGATTCATTTCGAAGTTTAAAGAAGCTTTTGAAGATGTTATCGTCATTATCATTAATATTACCATCATCATGATTATTACTACAATTATTTTTATAATTATGAAATTATTTAAATTTTAAAATTTAACTTTTTGACATCAGCCAACGCCCTGACATTATTAAAATTATTAAGTTATGAAATTTAATCTTGACATTATTAAAATTATAAATTAATTCAAATTATAAAATTTAACTTCTTGGCATCAGCCAACGTCTTGACACTGATGTATTTCTGAATCGTTGTCTGATTGGCCGCATACATGACCAAGTTTACGAAAAACCCGCCAACCGTCTGCGTCCAAAATGATGTCCTCATTGTCGGATCGAAACTGAAACTAAAGTATTAGTAGTAGTAGAAGCAGCTGCATAAGCAACAGCAGCAGTGGTATAATCAGCAGCAGCATAAGCAGCAGCATAAATAGCAGTAGGTTTAATGTAAAACCATTTAAAGATACCTATATCCATATACCAAATAATACATGTAAAATACACGTACAACAAAAGCAGCAACAACAATAACAAAAAAAATAACAACAACAACAAAATCTAACTTATCGAATTCGATCCTGCCCCCTTCGACGCTGATCTGCCAAACTTTTGACATACTTCCAACTCTTACAATACCAAAGATTAACATCAGCAGAAGCGTCAGTGCTATCACGAGCATCTGGAAAAAGTCGTTCCAAATGGTGGCTTTCATGCCACCCTGCAATGTTAAATTTCAGAAACGATTTTAAAATTTTGAATTTGAAAAATGGATGATTTGATAATTAATTAAAGTAATTAAAATTCAATAACTAATTAATTAATTGGATAGATAAATAACTGGTTAAATAATAATGTGGTGGATAATTGAAGTAATAGATAATTGAATAGATAACTAGTTGAATATTTAACTAGTTGTCTTTATGAATAGAATGGTTGTCAAATTAATGATAGGTGAGTGATGATTAAGTTATTAAGTAAAAAAATAAATTTTCAGTCTCTGTCTGTCTCATTCTCTCTCTCTCTCTTTCTCTTTCTCTCTCTCTTTTTTCTATTCCTTTTAAGTTTTTTTAAAAAATATATGCGATCTTATTTATTATTTGATATGTATAAACCTTTTCGAATGTACGTAATGACGCATTTATTGTTTTTTTTAAAGTTCTGTAACTAAATAAACAAATAGATAAACAAATAAATTAATTAAGTTATTAATAAATCGACATCCAAATTTACTAATTAGCACACAAAACCATAATGTGTATTCGCGGTAATGATTATAGCAGCTCAAGGTTCTACTTACTCAATATAATAGTTATACTAACACATTCACCGAAAATTGCCCGAATGCAGCTGAATAACAACTCCTACCTCGGCTGTTTCAAGAAAATCACCTTCACCGATTCCAAACCGCACGTGGGCAGCGTAGAAGACTGCGCGAAATTTTGCAGCCCCCAGCAGAGCAACAAGATCGCGATAAAACAGGGCGGGCTGTGCTACTGCATTGTCGATTTGGACTATGTGGTCACCCCGTTGAAATGCAACATGCAATGCTCTCCCGGAAGTCCCACCCACACGGCGTGCGGCGGGAAGAAATCTTACTCCGTTTATAAAATCAAGCCGTTTGTAGAACACCACGTAGTCTTCTGTAGCTCCGAATATTTGCAACGGGGAATTGCGACGATATTCTCTGAAGGAAAAGTCCTGGAGCATTGCATTAATTACTGTTTAGAGTCAGATTTTAGTTTCGTCCACAGAAATGTTCAAAATGGCGACTGCACCTGTCTCGATAAGTTTCGTCTGAAAGATGTCAAATCGGCGGAATTGGATCAGCCGCAATGCATAGAGGAAACATCGTGTCCGATGAAGGAAGTCTGCAACTGCGTTTGCAAGACGGCCGACTTAAGGCCAACCTACTCCTCACGTTCCCAATACGAATTTATTAGGGGACTGTCCACCTACTCTCATTGCGACAAAAAGATCTACAAAGGGAAAGCAATGTGTGAAGGACGCTGTCATGCGGGCTGGAAGGGGCAAGCATGCCATGTAAGGAATTGCGCCAGAAACAATGGTGATTGCGGTGACGATAAGAAATGCGTGGAGTCGACAATCAATGGTAATAAATACGTTGACTGCCTTTGCCCTTACGGACTCGTTAGAAACAAGTGGTTTGAATGTGAATTCTATCGACCGAACTTGGCTCTTCACAAGCCGGCCTACCTTAGCTCCACAGAAAAGAACACCTTAACTGGCTTGATGGACGCCAGCTACCTAACGGATGGAGTGTACGTGGATTACAGATGGGCCGGTATCAATGATAACACTTCCGCCTGGATGGCTGTCGACTTGCTCAGGCTGTACTGCGTTGGCATGGTAAAAGTTTTCAACAGACTATGTGATAGAGAGTCTTGTCACTTTATGAATAATTTTGTCGTCAGACTGAACGAAACATTCAACGTCGACACAAAGACAGATATAAAAGCGCAAGCTCAACTTTGTGGATTTGGACCAAGAAAAGTTTTTGATGTTGGAAAACCAATGACCGTCAAATGTAATAATTTCGTTCTGCTGTCAAGGTACGTCATCGTTCAGCAATCGGAGGAAAAATTTTCATCTGGCAAAGCAGCAGCTGCAGAAATCGAAATAAACGAAGTCGACTGCAGCAGCCACGCTGGCTTCTGTGGCGAAAAAAACTGCATAACGGCGATAGTAAAGAATACAACCACCATCAATTGCGTTAATTGGACGGACACAAGAATAGTTAACGAACAATTAGTTCTACTCTGTTACAAAGTAGCAAAAGCGGAATATAACTACACGACGCTTGGTTTGTCTCACGAAGAGTGTCAAACTGTTTGTCAGCGGGTAAAGAGAATGAGATTCACTGTAGTTACTGCCGGCTTGAAATGCTCCTGCGGGTTTTTCGTGAATGGGAGCGGTAACACGCCAATGAAGAAATGCAAAAGAGGTCATTATGATTCCAGCTTCGTGTTTGACAACTGCAAGTTCATAGACGGATCCTGCAAAATTGACATTACGAATGAAACAGATAGTAGTGATGATGAAGATGACGACGACCCCGACATTGAAGCAGTACTGGTTAACAAAGGTTCAAAGGAAAAAGACTCTAAAACGGACAAGGCTGGCAACAATAGCGGGGCAATTAATAATGACAATTTCGACGATGACGACGCACTTACTACCAAGGACCCACACGCTGACGGTCTTGAAAGAACGATACAATTCATCACTCTCGGCTGCTCTTTCTTTTTTGTTGTGGTCGGGACAGCCATACTCTTATACGTCTGGAGGAAGAGAAAACTGGCGCGGCAAAACTCTTCACCCATTTTGTCGGTCGCTAAATCGAACGGCTCGTCGGATGTCGTCAGTTAGAAAATTTTGTTAGCTCTGAAACTGAGTAACTGCTTTATAGCTGCAACTTATGAATGGGCTCGTTAATTTGAAAATTTTGATTAACTACATGTACAAATCGGACAGATTTCTGTTTATGTTTATCCATTTATTCATTCTATTATATTTTACTTATTTTTTGTGTATTTTTTGTTTCAATTTTAGTGATAATATAAAAGGAAAAACTCGATTTATTTAATTAATGAAGAAATCATTTTAAAGAAAAAACTACTTGGGGCTTATAAGGTTATAGCAATACTGATGGGTAGTAATTTTTTTCACTCTCTCTCTCTCTCTCTCTCTCTCTCTCTTTCTATTTGTCTCTATTTATTTAAAATAATTGTTTTCAATATATAATAAAATATTAATTAATCTTAAAAATAAATCTAAATCATCCAACATACCGCGAAGGTATAGAACGTACATACGAGTCCACATATGAGTATTGCCAGCCATATCGAGAGACCTGTAACTGTTTAAAAAATAATCATTTGTATTTTGCCTATTTATACGTATCTATTACTACTGTGCAAATACTATTAATTAGTATTACAATAATAATATAAATAATATACTAGCTACACACATACGCACAAACAAACAAATATACAAACATACAAACAGCACAACTATACAACAAACGTACGTTCATAGTTATACACACTAGAGGTGAGCGGGAATTAAAATTTGTTCCCAACTCCCTACTATTTTTTTTCTCATTCCGGATTTTCTCCCGAAAATTTCCATTTCCTATTTTTTAACTCAATCCCGCGTTTTCCCTTCTATTCCTTCCCGCTTTCATTAATTTTAATTAATTTTTTAAAACACAAAGCACAAATTTTTAGAAAATGCAGATTTAATTTGGTATGGGCGTTCCCATGCTCACCTCTATTTTTGAAATCCGCTCTTAACATTGTAAGTGATTTTCTTAATTATTTACTTAATATTATCATTATAATTTGAAAGAAAACCGTTGAAATTTGAAATTAAAATCGATTACTATGACGACGACGATGTTGAAATCAAAATAAATTGCAAAACAAACTGAAATACAGCGGTGAATCTTTCGCAAATTTTAAAAACTTTGTCAGAAAAAAATTAATTATTGTTTTATTGAAGGAAAACGAGCAAAAGCTTTAGTTTATGACGGAAAATTTAGCAATTGAATATCCCACAACATAGACATCACAAACTAAATATCATATTATGTAGATAGAGTTATATAAAGTTATAAAGAGTCATATAGTATAGGGTTATATAAAGTTGTATAGAGTTATATAAGGTTATATAGAGTTATATAAGGTTAGATATAAGATCCAATTTGTGTCAGGTACAAACAGTAAACCTGAATTGTCAGAGCACAATGTTTGACTAAGCAGTGGCATTGTTCTAGGAGTGACTCAGTCAGTTAAATATTTAAGAAAAACTCCCTAAATACATTTGAAAACCGTTAAACATATCTTGAAAATAACACTTTGATAAACTGGAAGCCGTGTTTAAGATCGCCTGAAACCAACCCTGCAGCTCAATTTTGAACCGATTGCAGTCTAAACATAATCACACCAGACAGGCCGTATTTTTGAGTGGATAAAGGAACGCTTGCTTAAAAATAGTTGATTATGATGTAGATATATACAGACATAATATTATTATTATTATTTTATTATATTTATATTTATTTTTATTATCATATTATTATTATTTCTACATGTATTTACCTTGTGCTAGAGCCAGAGCTGGAGTGTAGAGGACCACAGACATATATAATAACTGTGCGAGAAAATATCGTTATAGATAATAATAATTATTAGTTTTTATAGTAATTATAATCACAATTATAATTAAAATAATTATTTTTATTATTTGCTAACGGTTTGAAGGACGAAAGTTAGAGCACAGGCCGTTCTGACGACTTTGTTGAATCTTTTCTCGAGATACTGTGCAAGTATTAGTACTTATATTACAACTAAAACTGATGCTACTACTTCTGCTGCTACGGCTGCTTCTACTACTGCTGCTACAAGTTTTACTACTACTACTACTACTACTACTACTACTACTACTACTACTACTACTACTACTACTACTACTACTACTACTATTACTACTACTACTACAACTATTATTAATGTGTAAATACTATCAAACAACATACCACACACACACACACAACACGCACACACACACACACACACACACATTAGCAAACAAACAAATATACAAAACATACGAACAGCACAGCTACAACGAACCTCGTAAGCACTAGTAACATTCAACTTATAATAAACAGGAAGAATGAAGTGGCCGGCGAATGGCAGGGCGACGAAATATGCCAGTACCAGGTACGAATACATGGTGCCCCAAGCGTAAACTTCAATGGGTATGGATACGATAAAAATTGCGGATAAAAACGAGGCTTGCATTGACAGGGCCACCACCGACCAGTGCATACTTCCGCCACCTGTCAGAAAATTCTTTGACGTCATTTTTTTTCTGTCTTTTAGGCCAAAAAAGATTCCAATTAAGATTGTGACAACTAGGAAGGCCACGAACACTAAGTAGTCTGCCCAATGAAAGAGCTGGGTGGTTGTCGATGATGACGTCATTTCCGTTTTGGGGTATGGGGGTGGTGTTTTTTGAGGAGAGGTGTTTTGTCGATAGAAGGGGTGTTATGTTGTTGTTTGTTGATGCTATTGCTGACGTTGATGTTATTGATGTTAATTACACAGCTGTTGTCCGAATCCAAAGATCGGTGCTGTCATCCTTAAACTTGATGTAGGGGCATCAGTTAGTTGCGTTGGTGTAAACAAATTTTTTTGAAACAACATTAAAATAAACAATTAAAAATTTATAAGATGTTGATAAACTTGAACGCGTTAAACCAATCAGACGTGAAATATTATGGTGTATATAGGGAGAGATAATATATGTATATACATACATAAAGAGGGAGAGAGAGAGGAAGAGAGAGAGAGATAGAGAAAGAAAGTGATACAGCGAGAGAAAGATAGCGAGAAAGAGAAAAAAAAATTATTTAATTTTTTACAACATGTTGACCTCCCAATTCAATATTCAAAAAGAAACGCTATGTTAATAGACCTCTTCAAATAAATAAAATAACTACTATTACTACTGCTACTACTACTACTACTACTACTACTACTAGTACTACTACTAGTACTACTAATTCTACTGCTGCTGCTACTACTATCACATTTACTACAACAAATAACAATAATAACAATAAGATATTATCTATAATTATAACTGCTTATACACTTGTGGTTGTTATAATTATAATTTATGAATAATTTTTTATATATAGCAAGAGATGACTCCATGATAATGGATAGGGCTTTTGAGACACAACGAGGTATTTTTCAAGTGGTACGTTCGTAAATTTTTATAAATAAAGAAATATATATTTGAATTTAGATCAGTAAATCTCTCTCTCTCTCTCTATCTTTTTCTTATTCATCTCTCTCTTTCTTTTTTATTCATCTCTCTTTCTCTCTTTCTCTTTCTTATTCATCTCTCTCTTTCTTTTTTATTCATCTCTCTTTCTCTCTCTCTTTCTCTTTCTTATTCATCTCTCTCTTTCTTTTTTATTCATCTCTCTTTCTCTCTCTTTCTCTTTCTTATTCATCTCTCTCTTTCTTTTTTATTCATCTTTCTCTCTCTCTCTCTCTCTCTCTCTCGATGTATAAATTTTTTTTTATAATGATTTTAAAATATTTTAAACAAAGCACTAGAACGTCTTCAATACATAAATTTATTAAATGGACAATATTTCATGCCAGTTAGTAAATCCAACTTGGTTAAAACTGTGTAAAAAGTTATTAAATAACAAACGAACAAACAAAACGAACGAACGAACATGCGAACAAACAAACAAAGAAGATAGAATCAAAATATATTTTTTAACATAAAACCATCAACAAATTAACAATAAATAATTTAACATAATATGAAAAAAATTGAACTATAGTAACTTCATTGTTATCATTGTCGGTATCATTGTTATCAAAGCTTATCTACCACTATCATGTTATCATTATTATAACCACTTTTATTCTTTTTCCTCTCATTATTATTGTTATTATCATTATCCTTATTATTTCCAATTAATTTTTCCCCAGTATGTTTAATACCATAATTGATATTTTTGTTACTTCCGTCATAATGTCTATCAGCAAATTCTTCAAGTTTAACGGTATCATTGCTATTACTATTATTATTGTTGTTTTTATTATTGTTATTATTATTTTTATTATTATTATTAATGTTGTTGTTGTTGATGTCGTTGTTGTTGTTATTAATCTTGTTGTTATTATTATTACTTTTATTTTCACCATCAGTGTCGTCGTCGTCTTCATTTTGAAAAGTCTCATTGAGGTATGCTGTTTTCAGAATTTCTCTCAGTGCCTGGGTATTTCATTCAGTTAATACTATTACTACTATTATAATTATTATTATTATTCTGGTAGTAGCAGTAGTAGCAACAGTAGCAGTTGCAGCAGCAGTTGCAGCAGCTGTTGCAGCAGCAGTAGAGTTAAAAATTGTAGTAGTAGTAGTAGCAGTGTAGTAGTAGTAGTGTAGTAGTAGTAGTAGTAGTAGTAGTAGCAGTGTAGTAGTAGTGTAGTAGTAGCAGTAGTAGTAGTAGTAGTAGTAGTAGTAGTAGTAGTAGCAGTAGTAGTAGTAGCAGTAGTAGTAGTAGTAGCCATAGTGTAGTAGTAGTAGTAGTAGTAGTAGTAGCAGTAGTAACAGTAGTAAAAGTACTATTACAATATTAAAACCAATAATTTACTAACGTTTTTTCGACTATTTCACTCCTATAATGATGAAATCTTTTCCGGATGTAGCTGCAGAAGCAGCCACACTCACTTCTCCACTGGTAGACGAGTTTGGGATCTGTGTCCTTGGCCACACCTGCTTTCAATTATTATCTATAATTATAATAATAAATATGATCATAATTTTATAATTTTGATCACAATAATGATGATGATGCAAATAATAATACTACTACTAATAATAATTTAATAATAATAATCATTTCGAGAATAATAATTAATATGACAACGATAATAATAAAATAATAACTGGAAAAATAAAAACAAACCAGTGAGAAATGAGATAGGAATTGCAACCAAAACAGCTACAATAAGTGCGATCAGTCCGTAGTAAAAATGCGAGATTCTATAAGGCCAGGGTATTAATGATGACGATGATAACGAAGATGAAGACGACGATGACGATGTTGTGGCCAGAAATACTGATAATGATGATGATAATGTCGTCGTTGTAGCATTTGATAACATTCTTGCCACTGTTGACGCCAATCTTAATAATAATGTGAAATGATCAATGTTGGAATGAAACAAAATTTTAACTGGAATTAGTAGTAATAAAAATATTAGTAGTAGAAGTAGTAGTAGCAGCAGCAGCAACAGTAGTAGTAGTAGTAGTAAAAAAATAGTAGTAGTAGAAGTAGTTGTTGTAGTAGTTTAGTAGTAGTGGCAGCAGTAGTAGCAGTAGCAATTATATAAACCAAACAAAACCCACAGCCCAATTACTAATCCATACCCACGAGATAGTCCATTAGATAGAGAACCATCAGTGTCATTAGTGAAATTAGTGAGTGGACATCCATCTAATCTCAGATGCAATTTAGTTGATACCATTTTTGAAAATATGGAACCCATGGCTATCCAGGTCGTGACGAGTAAGCTAGTAGCCAGCCCGCTCAAAGCACCCTTCAATAAATATCATATATTATTCCATTGTTCCGTAATTATTTCATAATAATAATTATAACAATTAATGCACACGCACACACACACACTTACATTTACTGGCAAACAGACACACATAAACACACACACACACCAGCTTGTACATTTACTGAGAGACACACGCAACCAAACAAACATAAACACATACACACCCACTTTCAAACATACAGCCCAACTCACCCACTTATTAACAAATGGGAAGCAGATTCCCAGGGCAATAAGGGCCGTCAAGGGCCCGCCAACAAACCCGAAAATGCTGATACTAATCTGAAGGACCGAGTCCCCGAGATACTGTGCCACGTACCCTGCCGCTATGGCAAACCCGCCAAAAAGAATTACTATTGCGATGATGACGATGAAGAATTTGTTATTATTGTTATTATTATTATTATTATTATTATTATTATTATTATTATTATTAGCGGGGTATGAGTAGTAGGGGTAGTAGTTATTGCAGTAGTAGTAACGGCAGCTGCAGCGTAGCGGTAGTAGAAGTTGCAACAATAATATTAGAGTTATTGTTATAATAATAATTATATTATTATTATTATTATTTACCAATAATAATAATAATTATTATAATAATTATTATTTTCATTATTGAATATTTATAAAAAAAACTTCTAACTGAACGCCCTTGTCAAAACGGTTTTCCACCCCTCGCTTAAGTTTTTACGCTTTAAACGTTGGTAAGCCGGCTGGATGAAATCTGTGAGGGTGACAGCCGATAGAGCGTTCAAACTTCCAGACAATGAACTGTTATAATAATAATTATTATTATTATTTATAATATTAATAATAGTTATTATTATTTATAACAATTATAACATTAATTATTATTATCATTATTTATAGCCTCAGGGCAGCGCTGGCGGTAGTGGCAATGAACAATCCCGGAAGACCTGGATACTCTCCCATCAGCTCCATCACCAAGTAAGGGATTATCTGTTGTTATTATTTACACACACATACATACACACACATACGCACACATACACACATACGCACATACACACACACATACACATACAAACATATACACACACACATACACATACGTACCTGATCACTCTTTCTAACTTTCCCTGAGGCCAGTGGGTCACAAGTTTCAAAATAGGCATAGCACGTCATTCCGACCAGCAAAACCAATGTCATGCTGACAAAGTTTGTGAAAGCATCCAAATATATTGACCTGTGTGTATGTATGTGTATGTGTTGATAGATAGGTAGGTAGGTATGTATATTTGTAAGTATGTATGTTTGTATGTATGTATGTATGTCTATATGTATGTATGTATGTATGTTTGTTTGTTTGTATGATAGCTCAACTTACTTGTGAGCGTTCCTCAACGTCTTAACACTGAGAAATTTCTGAATGATGGTCTGACTTGAACTGTACAAGCTGAAACTGACGTACATACCTGCGCACATACATACATACATACAAACATAGATACAAACAAACAAACAAACATACAAACAAACATACATACATACCTCCAACAGTTTGAGACCAGAATGTTGACCGTTTCGTTGGATCGAGACTAAACCTTGGGAAGTTTTTTTTGGTTTCGTTTTTTATTTTTATTATTCGAGACAAATTTATTTGAAGTAATCTCAGTATTATCAGTTTTATTATAGTAAAATTATGTTAAATAATGATAATGATAATTTTTATTAGTTTTAAACTAGAAGCTAATTTAACCACAATCATACTCGTTAAAAATAATCCTTCCCCCTCTTTCATTGGCCCGCCATATCTCCCTAAACCCCCCCAAATGGAGGCACCCCAAAATGACGATACTGGAAAGCCCGAGGAATATGATGATCATTTGTATGAAGTCTATCCATATTGTGGCTTTCATGCCGCCCTGTGTGTGTGTATGTGTGTGTGTGT